GCTGTGGGTGTGATGGAGATCGCCCTCCAGGGGACAGACTTGGGTGAATCAGCTCAGCTGTATTCCAGAGTATGGGATTGAGGAGCCTGTGGACAAACACTTATTCGCATCAAGTGGCACACTCCTTTTACAAGGTTTTGCATGTGGCAGTAGGGTCCTAGAGCAGAGTTCCTGGCAAAAGCCTTCTAGCAGGGATCTGTGCCGAAGGGCAAACTAAAGATAAATCAGGCACATGATTTAGACACAGATTTCAGATAAAGTCAGACCTCCAGGCCCAGGGACATTCTCCGGATAAAGGTAGAGAGCAGGAAATTTCTCTGGGGAGGGAGGGAGTCTCTGTGTCATCAAGCTTTTGGCAAAAGCTGCTAGGCCATGATAGACTGCCATCTCTGACCAGCCAGCAAGGCTTTCCAACACAAGACCTGAAAACGGAAATAGGAGCAATGAAGAAAACACAAACTGAAGGAATTCTGGAAGTGAAAAATTTAGGAATTTGATCAGGACCCACAGAGGCACACTACACCAACAGAATAGAAGAGACGGAAGAGAGAGTCTCAGGCATTTATGAGATGCTAGAAGCTGACACAAAGCATCCAGGAAATTTGGGACACTATGAAAAGACCAAACCTAAGAGTAAGAGGAATACAGACTCTGTGAGTTCGAGACCAGCCTGGTCTACAAGAGCTAGTTTGAGGACAGCCTCCAAAGCCACAGAGAAACCCTGCTTCAAAAAAAAGGGGGAGGGATACAGAAAGGAAAAAAATTGCAGCTCAAAGGCCCTGAAAATAGTTTCAACAAAATCATTGAAGAAAATTTTCCTAACCTAGAGAAGGAAATGCCTATGAAGGTACAAAATGCATACATAATCATCAAAACACTAAATGTACAAAAAAAGATTATTAAAAGCTGCAAGGTAAAAACACTAGGTAAGATATAAAAGCTGAGCTATTAGAATTACACCTGACTTCTCAACGGAGACTCTAAAAACCAGAAAGGCCTGGACAGATACACTGCAGATTGTAAGAGACCACAGATGCCAGCCCAGACTACTATACCAGCAAAACTTCCAGTTAGCATAGATGGAGAAAATAAAATATTTCACGTCAAAGTCAAATTTAAACAATATCTATCTACAAATCCAGCCCTTTAGAAGGTGCTAGAAGGAAACAGGGAATAAATAATCTCAGACCAGCAAAACTCAAAAGAAGGGAAGGTCAAATATTTTGTGTCTGGGTTGGTGTTTATGTTTCTCCTTTGGCAGCCTGCAGAGAACTTTCCTGTACCAAAGACACTAGAACGTTAGGGGCGAAGGTTCCGTGTAGGCACCAGCTTTACCTCATTCGTGCTCAATGAGCTGTGTAGGTGTTGTCCTCAGCAGTGGGGCCTTGCTGTCCGTTTGTGGAGAGCAACCCATTGTCTTAGCAAGAGCCCAGGTTGTTTGGGGATTTCCAACTTAGTCCTGCTACTTAGTCCTGCTACCAGAAGTCTCATTTGGTGACAAGAGATGGCAACTCTGTATCCCCATTATTGTGAGACCTCATTAGGATTGCCTTCATACATTTTAGGAGGTTTCCACTGTACTAATGTTCCATAGCATCCCTCAGATGGCCCTCCATTCTATCCATCTCCCCCCCATATCCCCTACCTCCACCCCATCTCCTCTCCTCCTCCCCCCCCACATGATCCTCTCCTTCCCATCCCATTTGCCCCAAGGCCACCCTTAAAATCTTTTCTATTTTCCTCTCTCAAAGAGACCCACGTGTCCGCCTCCACCCATCCAGTCCCTTCCTCTAGACCTAACCTCCCTGTGTCTATGGATTGCAAAATATCATTTACTTAATGGGTAATATCCACATACAAGTGAATACATACCATACTTATCTTTCTAGATCTGGGTTGCCTCAGGACGATTTCTTCTAGTTCTATCCATTTGCTTGTAAATTTCATGATACCAGTTTTTAAACAGCTGAGTAATATTCCGTTGTGTAAATGTACCATACTTTTCCTTACCCATCCTTTTGTTGAAGGACATCTAGGTTGTTTCCAGTTTCTGGCTATTATGAACAGAGCAGCAATGAACACGGTTGAGCAAGTATCCTTGCGGTAGGATAAAACATCCTTTGAATATATTCCCGAGAGCGGTGTAGCTGGGTCTTGAGACAGATCAATTCATGATTCAAGAAACTCAACACATGGCACAGCAGGAGCTCAGGAGTTGCTATCTCCATTGATGCTGAAGCTTTTAACCCATGAATCCAATTCTTTGAGGAAGTTTCTTTCTAAAAATAACTTAATCATTTCCACCTCACTCCCTTGGGAACACCTCCTATCCCATCCATTGTTCGAGTCCCTACACACATCCTTCCTGTGTCTGGTTTTCCCTCACATCTATTTGTAGTAGAGAGCTGATCTGCAGGAAAATAGCGCATCTCCATATTCTAGCTAAATTACGTGATATTCATCTATGGCCATCATCCTATTCTGTGTGTAGACTGATATATATAAATAGACATTTATATTTTAGATTTCTGATTATTTATAAAACCATTTCTTATTATTTTCCATGTCATACCTGTTCTCGGTAGTAGATGCAGCACCCTCAAATATCTCTGAAATATGTAAACATTTTGCTGTTTCTTTGAGGTGGACAGACCGTCAACAGTATTTTCTGCATCTTCCCCAGTAAGAAATAAGTCCAACTTGCTGTGTAATGTTGCTTCCCTCTTTGCTGTGATGGATGGTATATTTCTTTGTCTGTCAGAGAAACCTTGGCATAGACAGAGAAAGTGTCTAAAAGAAATCCACAGAACAGCTCTTGTGATTTTGTAGGATTATTGGCAATGGGTATCTTTCAGTGAATATTCAGTGACTAATTCTCCTGTTTCTGCCATTTGAGTAAACTGTCAGTAGTCCTTTCTGTAAGCCCTCAAAACTAGTTCTCTAATCCCACTCCACCTGACAGCCCCCGCTGTCCTGGAACTCACTCCGTGCACCAGGCTGGCCTCAAACCCAGAGAGTCACCTGTGTCTGTCTCCCCGCACCGCACTGGTATTAAAGGTGTGCACTACCGCTTCTTGGCTCCAATGTCATCCCTTTGTAACCATGGCAATTTGACCCAGTGATTAGTTCTTGCCTGCGAACTGATATTGATCTCTCTCCATCTCTCCTCCAGGCAAAAAGGACAGTCAGGTATACTGACTGATATGGCTGGAACCTGAAGTGTCTTTCCCGTCCCCTGAGACATGTTTTGAATATTTGTTCTCTGTGGGGAGTGCAACTTTAGGATGCTGGAGATACTGTTGGGAATGGGGTCTGGCTGGCAGAAGTAGGTCTCTAGGGAGGAACCTTTCAATGGCATGCCCACTTCTGGTTCTGTCCTGTTTCCTTTGCATTTCATCATGAGACAAGCAATGACTACAGGTTCCCGCCTCCTTAGCAACGGCTGCACGCTCCTGTCTCCTTAGCAACGGCTGCATACACCTGCTTCCTTAGCAATGGCTGCATGCTTCCACCTCCATGGACCCTCCCTTACCATGATGAGCTGAAACTTTGAGCCCAAATCCACATCTTCTCCTGTAAATTGCTTATGCCAGGTGTTTTGTCAAAGTGGACAAGGAAAGTAGCTAAAACAAAGTATCCTTTTGATTGTCCCTGAATTAGGGCTGTCACATGCTGTAGATCAGTTTTGGCTTGTGCCTGATTGACAGTTAAGAGGTTCTCCTCCTGAGGCCTTGTGCTTTGTAAAGTTTTGGGGAGCATGAAGGAAGGCAGAAGTATTTGCTACTATCTGTTTATTAAAGAAGACAAAGTTTATTCTGAAGACTTCATGCTTTTTCTAAGAGGCTTGGTAAGTGACCTCCTATCATAGCTGCATTGGAAGCAACCTCTTTACAAGTGGCTAAATACACTGAACCATCAGGCCAGAGCCGTGTGATCTGCTGCTGACAAGCTCTGTCTTCTGAGCAAGGAGTCATCGTCTTCCTCAGAGGAGTCTCTGGGTTGGGCCTGCGGACTGTGAGGCTCCCTTGTAGACGGAGAAGGGTGAGAAGGACCCTTAGACTCCTGCTGGAGACTCTGGCCCCTTCCTCTACACCTCCTATCCAGGGGTACAGAGTGCTGACAGAACTGGCCTGAAAGGATGTTTGCCTATTTCTGTCTTCTCTTCCCAATCCTGGGTTATGCTGAGATATATGTCACTGCCCCGCAACAACTACATTTTCTGCACTGAGACCTACCCTGAAACACCCAGACCCCAGTTGACTCGCCACTTAACATAGCAGTTGTCTTGAGTCATTACTGAGTGAAGAGACAGTGTACTTAGTAACAGACCAGGGTCAGTTCACTGACTGTGGCATCGGATACATTGTCTCTTTGCAAATGTGGGGGATCAAGGAAGGGCCACTTGTAACAGTGTTGGAGAAGATAAACACCCTACATGACCATAAAAACTGGATTCTCAAGGTTTCCCTGAAGTGTCCTCTAGGTTTTCAGTCTCACTAGCTGTCACGGCATGCCGAGCTGGCTTTCAACTCCCTCTGCCTCCTGAACTCCACGAGACAACATATTGCCAGAATCCAGAGCCTATGGAGAACCTTAACCTCATAGAATCCTAAAAATGTAATCTTCACCTTTTCAGATGTTGAGAAATGGAACAAGATATGGGACTGAATGTGCTCTGAGTATTCACCAAGTACTAACAGATAACATTTGTGCACTCACAGCCTACATCTAGGGAAGTTGGGCATCTACTTCCCCTTAGAGGGCATCTTCTGCAGCCTGACAGGAGGGCTGCTGAGTCACTCACCCTCTTCAGGAGGGCTGCAGAGTCACTCACTCACCTTTCTGTCTCTGTGTTCATCTCTTTTAGCTCTGCCTGCTGAAACTGTTAATCTGACAGGGCAAGCTCAAACTTCATTCCCCAACTAGCTTTTGCCCTTAGACAGAGGAGTCCCCTCTTCTTGTTTTTTTAAACACTTATTTTCCTTAAAACACTTCTTTTCGTGCTCGCTTTGCCAGCACATATACTAAAATAGGAACAATACAGAGAAAATAGCATGGCCTCTGTGGAAGAATGATGTGTAAATTCGTGAAGTGTTTCATATTCTTAGAGAGAATCTCAGGTGTTGAAGATACACTAGGAGAAATAGATTCATCAACCAAGGAAGATCTAAGTCCAACAAATCCCTAACACAAAATATCCAGGAAAAACGGGGCACTGTGCAAAGGCCAAAACTAAGAATAATAGGTATAGGGGATGGAATAGGAGGTTGGTGGGGGGGAGGGAGTAGGAACTGGGATTGATATGTAAAACTATCTTGTTTCTAATTTAAATAAAAAATACAGGAAAAAAACACTTCATTTTCTTCCATCTGGCATTATCATAGCACACATCTCTAGTGTACAAAGGCATAGGGATAATTCATTAGTCACCTGTATATGAAGCTAATAAAGCACTTTTGATAATGTAGATATTCTCTCTCTCTCTCTTCTTTTCTTTATACTGTGAATATGTTTTATTCCCATTGGTTAATAAAGAAGCTGACGTGGTCTATAGCAAGGCAGGCAGGATAAAGTCAGGCAGGAAAGCCAAACTGAAAATACAGGGAGAAGGGTAGAGTCAGGGAGAAGTCTGTGAGTGACAGGAGCAAACGGATGTACTAGAGAAGAGGTAATGCCACAAGGCCACGTGGCAAAACATAGATTAGTAGAAATGGGTTAATTTAAGTTGTAAAAGCTAGTTAGCAAGAACCTCCATCCAGTGACAGACGGAAGCAGAGGCAGACACCCACAGCTAAACACTGAACTCAACTCCTGGAACCCAGTGACAGAGAGGGAGGAGTGATGAGCAAAAGGGTCAAGACCGGGCTGGTGAAACCCACAGAAACAGCTGACCTGACAAGGGGGAGCTTTGGGACTCCAGACTGATGGCTGAGAGGCCAGCATGGAACTGATCCAGACCCCCCCTGAACCTGGGTATCAGTGAGGAGACCCAGGCAATCTATGGGGCTTTGGGTAGTAGATCAGTATGTATCCCTCGAACACAAATGAACTTTGGGTACCCATCCCACAATGAGGGATGCTCTCTCAATCTGGACACAAAATGACAGACTCTAGAGAACTCCCATGGAGGGCCTTACCCTCCCTGGGGAATGGAGTGGGGATTGGATTGGGGGCTGGGGGCTGGTGGGGGGGAGTGGGCATGGAGGGGAGAGACAGGGAGCTGAGACTGATGGGAATCAAGCTTGTTTCTAATTTAAATATATAATAAAAAAGTGTTAAAAAGAGCTAGTTAGTAATAAGCCTGAGCAATAGGCCAAAGATTTATAATTAATATTAAGCTTCTGAGTGATTAACTTAAATTGCTATGGGACTGGACAGGACAGAAAAATCTCTGTTTACACACACACACACACACACACACACACACACACACGCTTACATTTTCAGATACTGGAAGGTATTGTGGTAAATAGTGATATGAGTATGTATTACACCCACCTCAAGGAGCTTAGAAACTGCACGGATTAGACAAGAGCTAAATCTTGCACCTCGAAGATTATATAATAATAATTATATGTTGCTGCTAATGCAGCATCAAATTCTAGGCAAGTAGTCCACCACCGAATTATATGCCCAGCTCACATGCTACTTGAAATAGAGCTGTAGTTGGTGAGTTAGGTTCTCTGACAACCTACTAGAACAAGGTTCACTATTAGCGAGAAAACTCCCCCCTTAGTGCTCACGTTGAATTAAAATGTCTTGTTGTGGGAAATACTTGAATTAATAAAATAGCCCCGGGCTTGCATGTTCTATCGTAGCCAGTCGTAGCTTATGCACGGTGAGAAATAACTGGCTGCAGATGCTACCACGGAACACACCCGCCTCTGTTCCCGAAGGACTGTGCAGCTTCCCTGGCCGGGTTGCTCTTAGGGTCCCCCCTTGGGGACGTCCTTTCCCAGCCTGTCCTTCTGAGGGAAAGACTCCTGGCTGACTTTGACTCCTGATGTGCCATCTTGAGTTGAGTTAGCCATTGGCTTGGCATTCACGGGTTTTCTCTCGGCTGTGCCATGTGCTGTGAATAGGTGGAGTTGAGTCCCCCGTGCCACTTTCTATTCTGATGCTGTGCGAGCTTTGGGAAAGGGAGGGAGCCGAAGAGGAAAGGAAGAGGTGCAGCCTGTGGTCTTTGACTCCTCCTGACTGTGGGTCTATAAATTTCTCTAGGCTGTGGGCCCAGTGGGACTGATGCTTTGCAGGCCCTCAGAGGATGAGCATCTCTCAGTGAAAACCCGGATGTCGAGCTTATTCAGACAGGAGACTTGACTACCCATTGCTCTGCTCTGCTGTTCGGGAGCCTCCAAAGCTTGGGGGAGTGCAGTGGAAAAGTCAATAGAGCTGTCACCAAGGAGAGCTGGTCGGTGAGGCTCTCTTTTAGCCTCGGCCAACTTCAGTTCGCCAATGCGCAGGCTACACATGTTTAGAATTAGCAAGTAACGTTTGGAACCTCCATTTCCCATCCCCCACCCTTACAGGGTGGCTTACTCAAGGCGGAGTCCCCCAGCTCTCCCTCCAGGTGGGAAGAGCTCCTTCCTCACCCAGCAGCTGTGGTCTCACCCACGGGGCTCTGGCTCTCCGTAGGTCCTAGGTCCTAGGCTTTGTTTGCACACCTGCAGCCCTTCCAGATCCCGACACCTAAGCCTGCTTCACAGTTTAAAACGCCTTGCTGGGGAGGCCAGGGAGGGGCAGCTCCTTGCCTAGAAAAATGAAATCGTGGCCCGGAGACCCACTTAATCCAACATCCACATTCACCTCTTTTTCAAAAGCTGATATGCCCAAGTTCTAATGCCTTCATTTCCCCCTTCGTTTGTAATAGCAAAGCCTCCTTGGCCAGAAAAAAAATGAATGTGCGGTTGGCAGGAGTTGAATAGAGGTCTGCTTAAATGATTTTTAATTTATGTTGAAATGCTGAGCCGCTTTTCTAGGTCCCCACTGGATACCCCACAAAATGAGGTGTCTCGAAGCCTACCTTTACAAGAGGAGCTAAAGGGTTTAAAAAACATTCCCTTTAGTTTTACCCACTCTAACTGTAGCTCTCATTCCTGGCTGACTGGGATCAAGTGGCTCTCAGGAGTGTCTGGCTGGTCTCAGAACTCGAGGCTGAAAGACATATACCTGTCTCCTAATCCTGCCCGCAGCACGGAGGGGCCACTTACTCTCCACAACTCCATTCTTCTGGTTGTAGAATGTACAGAAACCCAGATGTAAAGAATGTCTGTAGCTGTGCATGCTGGTGAGTACGTGGTTTGTAAGTAGGCATACGCACTTGTGGGTTTATCTGTACCTGTGTGTTTCTTGGTGTGTGTTAACATGGGTGTGTGTTCCTGTGAGTGTGTGAGTGCACAGGCATGCGCATGTGTGTCTGGGCCAGCGCTTGGCATCTGGAGGGCTCCTTGACCAGTCTTCCTCAGTTTTTGAAACACAGTGTCTCTCACTTAATCTGGGGCTTACTGATCTGGCAAGGCTGGCTGGCCAGTGGGCTCCAGGGATCTGTCTTCATAAGCACTGCCTCAGTTGGCTTTTTTTTTCAAACCTTGGTGCTAGGGATCAGAACCCATCAGAACGAGGATGAAAGGCCACATGTCAGAGAAGGGGTTCAAGACCACATCAGACTAGGGGTGCCTCCTACAGCCTTGCTGCTGATCTTGAACCCGTGTCTGTTAAATTTATGTCTCTCTGCATTCCCACTTGAGATACATCATGCGTTATTTCCAGTCTCTTGTCAGTATCTATGGAACTGTTCTTGAAACAGGTGAACACATCCCTATGACCAAAGGGCAGATAACGAAGAAAGTGCCGTCAGCCTACTTCTCCCCCATTTCCTCTCTCAACAGCCTTTCCTGGAGATCAGCACTGTTCTCACAAAGATTTCCTCCTAAATAGACGTACGCGTAAGCACATCTACTTTCTGTTAGACCTCTCTTTGTTTAATAGTAGATCTGTGGGTGTCGCTCACGTTCACCGCTGTGTGGCATGTGGTACCCACCTACCTTAGTTTATCCATCCTAATGTTTATTTAGGTTGTTTCCATTTGTTTTTTGGGAATTTGGGTGTTGTTTATTCCAAACTGCTTTCTGCTGTTTGGGAGTGCTGTTCATACCATGAGGATCATGAAATAACACAGAAACCTGGTTAAGTCCTTGTTTTTGTGGTCTGTATAGTATATCATCCCAGCTGTTTTAGATGTTGGACTGCTTGGAATATTGCTTCAGGAGGCTGTGCTTCATCAAACAATAGAAGTCTGAAAGGAATCCACAGCTCCTCATTTTCTTAATTGCCATCCTAGAGTCTTCATCCAGTAGCCTATCGAAGCAGAAGCAGGCACCCACAGCTAAGCACCAAGCCATACTCCTGGAATCCAGTTGTGGAGAGGGCGGTTGTTTCCATTTTTAAGATCCAATTTTATGAAAATGGTATGATCACCTTTTAATATTTCTTTTGCTTCTTGGAACATCAGCCTAGAGCTGGACCCTGGGGTAAAGCAGAATCTCTGTGTTCCCTTGTGGTGGGTGTTTGAAGACCACGCCCATAGGGAGTGTACCAAGGCTTCCTCGTGATATTCTCGTTAGTTCCCGATAGAAAAAAGCCCTTTAACTTGGATGCATTCTGATGGATATGTTGTGGCTTTACTTTTCACTTTTTTAGTGACTAAAACTAGTGAGCATGCTCCAATTTTTTTTCTTAATCCTTTGGATATCCTCTTTGCGAATTTCCACTTCTCTGTTTGGTTATTTTTTTATTTATTTATAAGAATTATTTGAAATCAATTAGCTAATATTTGTTCTTCTTATATTTTTGCTTCTGTTTTCTCAAAAGAGATTTATGCCTAATTTTTCCCTTTTTAAGATATCTTTGTCAGACAAGGGGTGCTATTAGTTTTAAAGAGTTCTCCGTGTTAATTCCCTGAAGAGAGGTTTACCTAAAGAGTAGCATTATTTCCAATTTCTCTGTAAGAGTCAGTGAGTGAGACACCAAATGAATGCACTGCCTTCAGCCCAGGCTGCTGGGATTAAGCCTGAATGTCTGCACTCAGTTTCTACCACCTATGTATT